TATGTCCTTACTCAATGTTGTGCACCATTTTTCTCGTAGCCCATATAACCTATCAAACCATTCTTTTTTTTTTTTTTTTTTTTTTTTTTTTTTTTTTTTTTTTCTAAATCCATGTGTTTGAACCATTTTGTGCCAGCATTCTTCAAATTCTAATTCTAAATCACAACCACTTAAGCATTTGTGAAACATATTCTTGAATTCAGGATTGCTTTTTAGAGTTCCAAAGTGAGAGACAAAATTCTTTTGTAGATGCCATAGACATAATCTATGTCTTGAATTTGGATAAACCTTCAATAATAATAAGAAGAATTAGATTATTTTAGTCAGAAATTAGATTATTCTAATCAGGAATTATATTATTTTAGTCAGGAATTAGATTACAAATTATTAGACAAGTATTACACATTATTAGTCAGATAATACATTATTTTAGTCAGGTAATATAAAGTTTTAGTCAGGTGTTAAATAATTTATTAGTCAGGTATTACAAAGTATTAATCAGGTAATACAAAGTATTAGTCAGGTATACACTGTTTTTAGTTAGTCAGATATTAAGTTATTTTAGAGCTAATAAGTTTGTCAACTGAAAATAATATTAGTTTTTTTAAAAAAAAACAAACTGAAAATAATATTATTAAAAATTAAAAATATCTTTAATAATATATTAATATTTTACCTAACCCTAAACGAGATATAAGTTGTTGCCTCCCTATATATACTACACCATTCTATTTTTATGTTTGATTTCAAATCTATTTTTCTCTTCCCACATAAGAAACCCTAAATCTTAATTTTTCTGCAAAAATGGAAAACAGAAGATCCACTAGAGATATAAAAAAGGTCGTTTCCATTGATACTGAAACTGTTGATATAAAATCAACTGAGATCCAGTTGAGTTATCTTAAAGGCCAATTGCAAGGAGCCATTGATCGATGCAATACTGAGGAAAGCTTGTTATTGATTTAACAAAGGAGGTGAACAAGTTTGAAAACATCTTGAAAGAGAAGAAGCAAAAGGCGTGGGAAGATGATTTAGCCGCCGCTGCAGAGGCTAGTGAAGCAGTTTGGGAAGAAATGCAGAAGAAGAAGAAGAAGAAGAAGAAGAAGAAGAATAGGGTTGTTGGAGAATCCTTAAACTAGTTGTCTTTAATTGTAACTTTTTCTTTTAAAGTTTAGTTTTAGTTTTCAATTTAATTGAGTATGGTGGTTTAGGGTTTGAAATTGTAATAATATTTTGCTGATAATAAAATTGTTTGTTATTATCTACCTGTATTTCATTTCATGTTGAATTTTTTAAAGTTTCATCTGTTAAAATTGCCTACGTTGATGATTATTTAAACTCTAAAAATGAAAATACAAGTTCAAAATAAATAAGTTTAGTTTAATATTACATTTATTTTAGTCAGATTTTAAATTATTGAAGTCAGGAATTACAAATTATTAGTCAGGTATTAGATTATTTTAGTCATGTATTACATTATTTAAGCCAGGAATTAATAAGTATTAGTCAGGTATTACAATATTTTAGTCAGGCATTATAAAGTATCAGTTAGGTTTAAATAATTTTAGTCAGGTTTCAGGTATATATAGTGATGTTTTAGATTATTTCACTCAGGTTTTACATTAATTTAGTTAGGAATTACAAAATATTAGTCAGGTATTACAAATTGCAAGTCAGGTTTTATAATTTTAGACAGGGAATTACAAAGTATTAGTCAAGTAATACAAAGTATTAGTCAAGTAATACAAAGTATTAGTCAAGTATTACAAAGTATATTAGTCAGGTATTACAAATTATTAGTTAGGCATACAAAGTGTATAATATATATTATAAAGCTAAAACTGCTTACCTTTGGTATGGTGTTACTCATTGCAAGATCTTGATCAGTGAAGATTGATTTTGGTTCAATTTCACACATTGATTTTTTGAAAATTGAAAGCAGCCAAACAAATGTTACAGTCTTTTCATCAGTTATGAAGGCACATCCAAACGTTGTTGATTTCCAATGGTTGTTTATACCAACAAATGGTGCACATATCAACCCATATTTGTTTGTTCTGTATGTTGTATCAAAGATTAAAACATCACCATAAGCTTTGAAATCTTCAAGCATTTGAGAGTCACGCCAAAAATAGCTCACCACACACTAGTAGAAAAAGTAAGTGACAAGCGGTTCAAACCCCCTAATGGGAAGCGGTTTTGAACCGCTTGGGCTTGGAGGGCTTCGCATTGCCCATTTAAATGGCAAGCGGTTCAAACCGCTTCCCATTTTAATTTTTTTTCCACATTATTATTAATAATAATATAATAATAATATTAATAGTGACCTGTCATAATAATACCAGTGACCTGTCACAATAATATTAATATTACAAACAATAATACAATAATATATAACATGAAATACTTATATATATCAAAAGTAACATCATTAATATATTTAATTAACAATAATTAGTAATTACACAAAAATATATAAAGATAACATTCAAAAATACTACGTACTAATTATAATTAATGTTAATATATAAAAAAACATAACTAAAATAATGTTCATAATAACTAATAAACTCAATCTCACTAATTAATTTGGTGTGTGTGCACCCACTCCGACGATTCTAGATGCCATCAAATGTCACGAAAAAAGCCCACATGTCGTGAATTTCATTAATTTCTTTGCTTATTAACGGGCCTTCCCTTTGAATCTTGCAAACCTTTGGGTAAAAAAAAAACCAAACATTATCATGCGTATTACAAAAAATTCAGAAAATGTGTGTCAAATATTTCAAAATTAGTCGCCAAAATTTGCAAACACTTAGGCATCAAAATTCACAAACAATTAGGCACCAAATTCACCAAAATTCATCAAAATCCACCAAAATTCACCTAGGCTGCGGCAACTGCTTGGGCTGCTGCACCTGCCTTGGCTGCTTCAGCTGCTTGGGCTGCTGCCTGGGCTGTTGTAGTTGCCTTGGCTACTACCTTGGCTGTTGCAGCTACCTGGGCTGCTGCACTAGCCTTGGCTGCTGCTTTGGCTACTGGGCTGCTGCAGCTGCCTGTGCTGCTGCATGGGCTGTTGCACCTGCCTGGGCTGCTGCACCTAGGGGTGTTCAGATTCGGGTACCCGGATCTTTGGGTAGTTGAAAAGTCAGCCCGTGTCCCGGCCCGGATAATTCGGGTACCCGAATATTAAAATTAGTTGGTATCTAAAGCTGCTGTAAAATATGTTTCAAAGTTTACATTTGATATTTTTATAAAAAATTGACTCTACAGAAATTGAATGCAATGGATCTTAAGAAGCCAAACAATAAAACAACAAAAATTGAATCTACTGAACATAATGCTAAAGAAATTGCACAAAATTATAATCATAAACCCATAATCAAATTGTAAAACCCAGAATTCAAATTAAAAAGTAGAATCCCAAAAAACCAGAACATAATACTTCCTCCGTTTTTTATTATCTGCAACAATTACCAAAAAAATAGGTGTTTCATATTATTTGCAACAAGTTTCCCTTTTTAGTAAGTTTAGTAAGGGTAAAATTACGAAAATACCCCTAAAAAAACTGATTATAAACTAACCTAAACACTAACTATGATTAATATACCCTATAATCTAACATCCTAATCTAACCATTCCCACCAAAAAATCAGAATCCCCACCCCCTATTTCCATCAACAACTCAGGAACCCTAAATCACCCTTTCACATCCTCACCTCCTCACCTACCTTCATCAATGCTGCTCCCAACCACATCCATTAATGAGGCTGTGTTCATCCTCCTTCTTTTACTTATTCCAACGCTTCAATTTATTTTTCGAAATTTCTGGGTTCTTCCATTTTGCGTTTCTCTGTCTTCACCTTCAAACCCTAATTTTTGCGATTCTCTCTCTTCAACTTGAAACCCAGAAAAATAAGTTCCTCAGACAAGAAAAACCCAGATGTGGACGTGATTGCTACCTATAAGTGCCAACGTCGCACTAGAAAAAAGCGTTTGATTGGTACCCGTTCTGCGATGTACCTGGATATGAAGTGTATGGGAGAGGCGCCTTTGAAACTGGTCCCAAATGAGTCCGATGATGAGGGTTGTGTTGTTAAAAACCTAGATTTGGGTAAGGTTGGTGAGGGTTCCATCAAAACGCTTCCAGAAGTCATTGTTCTGGATAACGACGATGAAGAACCCCATGTTCCTGCCCATTCGCCTCCTAAAGATGTTGAAGAGGGGGTGGCTGATGTCAAATCTAGGGCAAGGGGGGGCTTGTGGGAAAAAGCGCCAGAGATCTGAGTCCCTTCCTGCTGAGAGCGCTGAAAGTTGTGCACCGTAGCTTGATTCTCCTACTAATCTAGCAGCGTAACTTATTTCTTACCTTGGAATTAATTGTTTGTTTGTTTTCTTGTTCTTTTAGGGTTTTATCTATTCTAGGGTTTTGATTATTTTGCTGCCTTGAGGTTATATGGTTGAAATGGGTTGCCTGGATCTACACATATATGATGTTTGTTATTGTGGACAGTAATTGGCTAATAATGTGGAGTTCTTGTACTGATTTGTGTTGTTTAGCCTTATTTTCAATGTTGTTTGCCTTACCAATGATGGGTTTGTTAATTGGTGTTCATATTTTTATTAGACCAATTTTTATGCTGTGTTGTTTATGATAATTTGTTTGAAATTCCCTATGATTAGTAGCCTCAGTTGCATGTTGGTTGCCCTACTTATGTTGTGCCTGATGTGTTTACAGTTCTTCACAATTATTGTAGCCTGTTGGAGGGTTGATAAGTTGGTTTACATAATCATGCTCTGTGTTGCATTATTTGCCTGAGTTCATTTAGTATAACTTGGAGGCTGAACTAATAAGGAGTTCCTATGCCATTGGGGTTCAAAGTTGTTGGTTGCCTGAGTTGATTTAGTATTGATTTGGTGAATGATGATTATCCTTTTTGAGTCCCCTAAACAGCAATCTGTCCCTTAGCCAGTTTAGAGTCCCTTGCTTTTTTTTTGTGTGTGGTTGGGAAATCCATATGATGAAGGGACTCATTTGATACAACCAATTCATAACTTGGATTAGCTCCAACAACTTGATATAGAAGTTGTTGTTGAGGGAACCAATTATGTAATTTTTGTGAAAAAATTAAAAACCCTCTGATGGATTTATTTGTCACTGTATTTTGCATTTTTTATGCTTAGTTTGTGTCCCTAGTTGGTCATAAACCTTCCACAATGTTAATCATTAATTAAACCAAAAAATTTTACAATCTCCAAAAGAAGCTAGCTTAGACTGTCATACAATATTCATGGGCCTGACTTACAACAAAATACACATAACCAATGATTAACTTACAGTAATGAACAAGAAAAAAAACAGAAACCATTACATACAATGATTCTTGCTGCTTCATTTACTTCCATTGGTTATGTGTGGCAGTCTTACTAAAACTTCTACATGTGTCAGTTGCTGTGTTTAGTCTGCATCAACTTGTATCCCTTCATCTTCTTCATTTCCTTGATCAGTTGATATAAAAATGGTATTGAGGTAGTCAACAGCTTGTTGAACCACCCTGCTGTCCACCTGTAATTGTTCTGGTAGCATCCCAATCCTTTCTAGCCTCTTCTTCCCTTTGTGTGGTGAGGTGAAGTTATTCCCTCCTAGGTGATTGAGTATTTCTTCCATGCAGCATTGTAGGGTTATCTAACAATATTTGTTCAACACTGGGTTGAACAACTCATATGCTTCTTTAACCCTATCTATGAGTTCCACTAAATACTTTGGGAATGATTGGTATTGTAGTGATTGTATTACACTGAACAGCCCTAGAACTAACACATTTAAATCTGGAGACTGAGGGGGCTGGTATATGAATTGAATGTTGAATCCATTTGACTGACAGGTTGACTCAAATTCCTCATCCCTTGGAACTTGATGAGGTCTGGCATTATCCCATTGTACCAATATGTCCTTGGGTAGATTGGAAGGCCATTTAGCTTTGATGCCTGGAATTACATGATTCAATAGCATTGCCCTTATAGCTTCTTTGTTGACATTCTGTGTTGCTTTGATTTCCACCACACCAGCTCTCCTGTTTTTGCTTTTTTTCTTTGTTGTGCTTTCATACACAAATGGATAAATACCATACTTTCCATCATGTATGACTGCTCCTTGTTGGTCAAAAATAGGCTTCCCAATGGCTGCCATGAACATGCCCTTCACTTTAAACCTTTTGGACTGTTGGCACATGTATGAGTTTGCTTCATTTGATAGGAGGTAGAACTTCCTGGTTTCTGGGTTCAAGTAGAACCATTTTTCATCAATATGGACAACTTGTTGCATGTCCATAAACTTTGGGTCCCCATTTTCTTCAGCAGGCATTAGATGACTTAGCACCCATTTCAATCTTGCTACCTTGTGATTGTCTGTCAGATATGGATGGTTTGTGGCTGTATGTGTTCTGAGTCTGCCTTGCTTCTTCAGTTTGTGGATTGTGACACGTGGTACTTTGAGAGCTGCTGCATAGCTTCTCTCAGTTGTCCTCTTATACAGGGGGACTGATTGTAGGAACTCATCTGTGTAGACCTTTGGTTTTGGTCCTGTTTTCCCCAGCTTTTTACTTCTGACATCTATCAAATTCCCCTTTGCCATCTGGGATTTAATGTCCTCAAAGAGTCTCTGAATTGTGGATCTATGAACATTAAATTTGTTGGCTTGCTGTGTTATATATCCTCTTGGCAGAGGGCCCCCCTAGCTTCAACAAATAACCATCTACTAGTTTCCTTTTCTGGGCAATAGTGAGCTGTTTTCTGCTTTTCTGTTGCTGCATGCCACCATCATGCTGATTTTTAGCAGTCCCTTGCACATTGTTTGCTTCACCGTGTCCCATTCTGTTTTCATCATTAAGCATTTGTTCAATGCTGAAAAAATCATCATCTTCACTGCCTGCCATGATATTTATGCTGATGATGTTGAGTTCCCCAGATTTCAGACCTGGTAATGAAGTGAGAGGGGCTGTTTTTTTATTGTTGTGCTGTTGCTGAACTAGAGTTATGGAGCTGATGCTGCAATTAACTTAGGACTAATTTAGGTTTTAGTCATTACTAATGATGTAATCTTTTGGAAGGAACAAGTATTTTCTGTAATCTTTTGGAAACTCTGTTCTTATGTTGATACATTGTTGGGCAGGTTGTTTATATACCCCCCTTAAATGAAAATTTCAAGGGGGGAAAATTTGGATGAAATGCTTTTTTTTTTGTAAAAGGGAGGGAAATATTTCATGGGAAATGGGTGGGTTGTTTTAAAAGGTTGGCTGATTTTTTTGAAAATTTGGGTGAAAAAATTTTAGAGGGAAAATAATTGGTTCCAAAAATTGAAAAAGGGTCCACCTTTTTTAAAAAGTTGGACCACTTTCTCTTTCATTAAAAAACTTAGATTTTCTTCCCTCCTTTTTTAACTCTTTAATTACATACCCCACTTCCTACTTTTATTCAACTAAACAACTCTTAAAAGTTTTGCCTAGGCATGCTGAACTTGTACTTTGTTGCAGATAATAAAAAACGGAGGAAGTATTAGAAATTAACTTCTCAAAATTCAAAAAAGCATAATTTGACAAACAAATTAGTACCCAAAAATCGAAAAAAAGAAAAATAAAAAAAAACCTTGTCTTTCTTAAGATGGTGTTGAAGAGGAACTAGAGGAGGAACAAACTAATTAGCAAAAGACCCATCAATTGCAAACGCCTCTACTTCTTCCACATTCTTCTCTTAGTTTTATTCCCCAGAAATTAAAGATGACCCTGCTTCTTCTCTAATTATATTATCATCGATGGCGAAAAATTTTCCGTATCACCAACGATGACTTAATGAACAACGGGAGGATTATTTGATGAATGGGTGAAATATGAATCATATGGCTAACCAATTGCTGCTGTCAAATAAATGAATTCACCACCGCAAGTCACCGTATTCTTCGTCACCACCACATGCCGCCATATTCGTCCTCACCACCAGAACAACGTGAAAAGGAGGAAAGAGAAAGCAGAGAGGAGAGGAGAGAGAAAGAGAATAGCAACATCTAAAAAGAAAGAGAAGAAGATAGGGTGGGTAACTGGGTAATGGGTATAGTACGTTTTTTTGTTTTTGTTCTTTTGTATTTTTTTTTAACGGGTATTCGAGTACCCGAGATTAGCAAAGTTTGTCCCATGTCCCGACCCACGAAACTGCTATTTTAGCGGGACGGGTACCCAACCTGAAAAAAAACAAAAAATTTGTCAATTTCCCATTGGGTTTTTGCGGGTTATCGGGTAATCAAGACAGGACAACCGGGTCGGGTTTTTTTAAACACCCCTAGCTGCACCTGCCTGGGCAGCTGCCTTGGTTGTTGCACCTGACCTGTCACAATTTAGCTTCTTCATAACACTTTAGGAAAATAAGTTCAAAGTTAGAAACATAAATACTCAATGACTTAGGTGAGGACATTCAACAATAGGAAGAAATATGTTCCTATTCAGTAGGTTCTTCACTAGCAACTTCCGTGGTGGATTGTCACGAGTCGAATCAAAGTGGTAGATTGTGTTATTGGAAACACAAATCACCAAAAGGCTCCAATGAGCACTACATATATTTACAACAAACAAACCATCTGTCGTTAGAAGTCAACATATATACTTAACAGTTAACTGAATTTTCGGAATTTGAAAAAAAAAACAAACAACTGAATTATGACATATTTAGACAAACTCCTCAAAGCATGGGGCTAATATGAACTTATCTCCCGCACGCGTTGATTCTTTAATACTCCACTCAAGGTAATCTTCCACGTCATGAGGGTTGCATAAGCATCTGGTAAGGGAGGTCTGCTCAGGGCAAAACCACCCAATTGCAGCCTCAGAATTGCATCCACTAATAAGGTGCTCCTGTAGTGACCTTCATGAGAGTAATGTGGGGAATAATTATTAATTACATTTTTTACATTCGAAAATGTAACAACAATATGATGAGGAATAGTGGCATTGAATTACCTCATGAAAGTTTCAATGATGGAAATGTTAAACATGGAACCGGTTAGAAATTCCTTCACATCCACTCTTGTAATAAATGCGATCGCACCCTCATCATAGTGGAACAATGCCTTAGGTATATTCACTTCAATAGATCTACCCCTAGGCAACTCACTAACACGGTTGTGAAGAAAAGTACAAGCTTTAGAGAGCGACTGAAGGACATCGACTTCTACTAGTGGAGTACAGCTCGTTGGTTCGACTGTCGCGTGTCTACCAAAAATAAACCTAACTAAAACCTCCTAAAATGTAGTAGGGTAACCTAAGGTCGATCCCACAGAGAATTAGATTATCAAATTATTACTTGTGAATGTTAAAAACCCCTGATTTGCATAAGGAAAATATGATCTAAGAAAAATAAACTATTAACTAGAAAACAAATAAAGTACGGAGAAATAAACTAATAAAATTAAGATACTATAAAATCAAGAATAATGAAATAGGGAATCGGGAGACGTATTATAGCGTTGGAGTGTCAATTGATCATTGAATTATATATATAATCATGACTATATCTTAATGTTAACTAATGAGCACAAACAAGCATTCAAAACTTCCTTTAATTGCAAATAGACCAAACAAGCTCTTGGAATATTGTCTTACCAACTAATAACCTAGAACAAGCTCTCTAGACTCGATTAATTAGTAGCGTTAATAACAAGGGAGTAGTTAACTTAGCCACAAATCTCACAAGCTCGGACTCGTGCAACTCAAAGGGTTGATAATCTTAGGCATTATAACAAGCTTTAGTCACCTATTAAACACCTAATTGCCACCAAGGGAAATTAACAAGGACAATTACTTACCACAATTTAAAATCCTAGCAATCAAACTAGTAGATTATATTAAAGATGGCCGGTCTAAAATATAATTCAACCAATTCATACCAATAAAATAGACTATCAATCCAATCAAGATATAAACATGATACCCAAGAATTACAACATATCTATTCTCACAAAACCAATAATCCAATGCATAATTGATCTCCCAACCCCACTAATAATTTAGCCTGACATAACAAATGTTGAGTTAACTATAATAGAATACATAAAATTCATAATCAAACTAATAAACAAAGCAAATAAATGAATAAAACTAATAATTAAATTAATCTACCAAGATGTATACCAGCTAGTATACTGATGCATTCAAGAACAAAAGCACTAACTTTCATTTTAATTCTCCAAAGCAAAACTTATACTACTACTAATCCAAGATAAACCAAAGCTGACAATCGAATGAAAAGAAAATGAAAGCATAAATACAATACCAAATCTTCTAATGAGAATGAGAGTAGACACAAGCTGAACTGAGTCACCTCGACTAGTCCGTTTTTGCTTACCCTCCTGCTCGCTAGGTACCTCTCAAAATTCAGATGAAGCTCATCAATTTGCTGCCCTGAACGTAGCCTAGAAAATCCCCAAAATAAAACTCAGATCCTTTTTTTGTTTTGGAGTAGCTGATCGGAATCCCCAAAGTAGTATCGTAGCAAATCGAGAGCTACAACCACCTCAGTTCCTCTGTCGCCGAGTTCAGCTTCCCCCTAAGTTCGCTGTTGCTGGTCTTCTTCTCGCATGCAATTCGGCCTCCCTCCTCCCTGATTTGATACCCAAAACAGCCCAAATATATGTAAATCTTCCAATCTGAAAACGCCTTCTCCTTCCAATTCGGCATCCCAATCTTATAATCGGGAATCTTTAATCCAAAACGCTCTCATCCTTATCTGATTTCATCTCTATCTTTTCTTGCTTGACAAATTGACAACCGTCAATCTCGCTCAGGGGATTGACTCTTTGGCTTACCCGCAAGAACAGTGAGAACAATGAAGAGTTTGAGCTGCTCTCCTCTTTCTAATATGTTATGTGACAGATTGTTATACTTCAAGGCCCAACTGTAATAGCTTACACAATAAAACAACATTGGGCTTGAAATAGTTGAGAGTCAACGGGCTTATAAACTTTGCTTCTCTTAACCGGCGTGTCGTAATATGCAATTTGATGCCAATATTTTCTTTCCTACAAACAATAAAAATAAATAGTAGTAACTTGTGTCTAGATAAGAAAATTACGTAATATATCTTTAAACCATCAAATATCAATATAAAATCAAGAGTTTAATAGATATAAATATTGTATTTTTACGACCTTATCACTCGTTGCAGAACCTCTCGAACTCTTCTTCAACAGGTGTTCACCCTTCGACCCTTGTCCTTGTTCCATGTTCTTTGGAGGTTGGACATCCTTGGATTTTGGCTTCTCCACCTTCTTCCTTTTAGAGGACTAATTTTCCTTTGTAATCTAGTAACATAAAAGCACATGGTCATATTACAAGATATTTGCGACATGTTTTAAAAACAAGCTAAGTAGTTTATACTTACCCCTCCTATCAACCTCACCCGATCACGTGGCCATTGCACAAAGCTACTTTTCGCACCAAGCAGCATAAGGAAGTCATATTCCTTTCTAGGCATCGGTAATGGTAAGTCCTCATGCCTAAGCAGCAACCCAGGTAGCTGCAGTAGCCAAGGGCAGGTGTATGTTTGGGTTTTTCCTCTTTCGAATTCATGTACAAAGTTTTTTGCCAAAAACGCAAATAAAAACCACTTACCATTGTATCATCCCAAAACTCTTGAAGCAACCCTTTATGTATCTCGGGCCACTCAAGTGTAATGGGTATTTTACGAGTAAGTATGCCAATGTAAGTGGAATATTTGTTGCGCCATTGGCCAATATGTTGACCTAACTCGTCATATATTATGTCAATCAAATACATAGTATATATCATTCATATAGTGTAAAAATGAATGCTCTCAAAAGGTCCTTATCACTCCAACCTAACCCATCCTTGAACGTCTAATCTCACTAGTGAATGTATGTCAACTTTCCAATTTTAAGGAAAATTCAGCAGCATTTCCCCCTAGTTCTCCAAGTACACAATGTAGGTAATTACTTACCTACATATGCACCCAGAGAACATGGTGAGAAAATGTTAAGCCGAGATATTCCTTAAAATCGAAAAAGAGACATACATTCACTACCTAAGTAAGATTAAACGTCCAAGAACAATCCCAACCGGGGACTATTCAAGACTTTCTCCTAATGAGAAAGACTCGAATGGCTATCTAGGCAAATGACGATGCAAGCATTCAATAATTTGCAATTATTTGACATTCAACAATACAGAAGTTCATTCATTCATATAATGCTAATTAGACTACCTACAAGCAAACTAAGCCTACTTAACAATCCATTCATTAATTCATATAATGCATTACCAATAAACTAGGATTTGCCGATATTTAAATTATCTATTTCATTCATTAAAATTGCCAAAAATCCCACTACATTATATTTTAATAACCAAATTAAACAAACTAACTAGTTAACTAATAACTATTCTATTAAAAAAATCACTTTTAGGCTACTCAAATTCAAACAACATATAACATTTAAACAATTAAAGTAACAATTAACATTATGGAAACAAATAATTAATAAAACAATTAAGATAAAATTGGGTTAACTAAAATTGAAACCCTAACTTTGAAATTTGGGAAATTGTTGAGAAAGTATAGATAAGGAAGTAAAATTCAACATGAACTCACCCTAATTTGAGAGTGAGAAAGAATGAGGGGTGAGAGGCAGAGGTGTGGTGGTGGTGCCGTGTGAAGTAGCTGCAGCAAGGGATCAAGAGAATGCGACAAGGGAGGGGTAGCAGGGACTACATATCAGCAACAACACGGGTGGCCGACCATGGTCGAGGCGACGATGGTGGCTGCGGTGGTCGTGCTGGGTAGATACTCAATGTAGCAGCACCAACAGTGAAGCATCGGCTTGGTGGTGGTGGGATGTGTGAAGCAGCGGCTTGGTGGTGGTGGTGGGGGTTAAGTGAAGCAGCAACAACAGTAGCAATGGTGGTGCTGGTGGAGTCAGTGCCGACGTTTGAGAGTGAAAGAGTGAAAGAGATGAAGCGGGAGTGAAAGAGTGCAAAATATTGGAATTAAAACCAGCTAAGGGTTTAGGGTTTTCGAAGCGGATTTTAATAACCGCTCCTCATTTGGGGCTTCCCATTTACTTTTTTTTACTAGTGACATTATTTTCTTCTCCAAATTTCAGTCTATAAAAGAATGAAGGATCTTTATCTGCTCTTTCTTGAAGGGTATCTAATACATTCTGCATGTCTCTACCTTCAACCATACTCATTTTCACCCTTGATACATAATTAAGGCAGTCTCTCTTAGTATGACCTACAAATTCTTCTCCTCCAGCTTCATTGCTTATATAGTTGTAAGCATCCATTGGTTTAATACCACTCTCAACCATGCTCTTAATTAGCTCACCCATTGGAGCTGATATTTGTCTTTCTGATCTTAGATGATGTTGTTGAGCTGTTTTTACCAATTCATGATTATGTTCCAACTCATGTGTAAGAACATCAAATGTACCTTCTGCATTTTTCTTGAAACGAATAAGAGCTTTGCATCCAGTTCTTGTGTCAATTACTTCCCTTTCTTTTCTCTTTTTTTTTCATCAGTTTTACCTAATATCGGTATTTCAACTGAATTTTGTTCTCCTGAAATCTTCATTTTACTATTCGTTTTTCCTTCCTTAGAGCATCTATGATAAAACTCATACAGAATATAATTATTATCTCTTCTCTTTGTTGACTTTCTGACACTGAAACCAACATATTTTGAATGAGCTTTGTATAAATAATATCCATCATTGTAGTCTGATACTGTATAGCCTACTAGACATCTACTTATGTTTTCATCCTTGTCATATTTGTAATAATTTGCAACAAAATAAAATATAAATCATACTATTAAAAATTTATTGTATTATTATATTTTTATTTGATAATAGATTAACTTTTGTCAGGAATTACAGTACTATAGTTTGATAATAAACTATGTTAGTCAGGAATTAGATTATTTCAGTCAGGAATTAGATTATTTCAGATAGGAATTAGGTATTTTTTTTTGTCAGGAATTACATTATTTTTTGTCAGGAATTAGATTATTACATTCAGGTATTAGATTATTACAGTCAGGAATTAGATTATTTTAGTGAATAATTAGATTATTACAATCAGGAGTTAGATTATTTTAGTCGGGAATTAGATTATTTTAGTGAGGAATTAGATTATTTTAGACAGGAATTAGATTATTTCAGTCAGGAATTAGATTATTTCAATCAGAAATTTGATAATTACAGTCACGAATTGATCTCGAAATTAATTGTCAACAATTACCTCATTATAATTACAGAGCATTTAATTATCAGTGTATTATACTTCTAATTTTTATAATTTCAAACAAACATACCAAGTATATTTGCATCATCTTCATCTCTTTCTTCATCATCTCTTTGTTGATCGGTGGTCTCTTCTATAATTATATCATCAGCTGCGTTCACATCTGATAAAATAATCATTAATATTAGTATATTTGAATTTTAGAGCTTAAAATTAATCAATAATGCCATGCAAACACTAGTACATAATTGACTTTATGTAACATGTAATTGGTAACACTTCTTGAAATGCAAAATATTAGAGTAATAAGTAACACTTAGGTAACACTTTATTAGAAAGTAACACTCAATGTAACACTTTTAACATAAGTAACACTCCATAGTAACACTTTTAAAAAAAGTAACATTTTATGGTAACACTAAGAGGTGTTACATTATTGAATACTTGAATTAGGTAACTTTTTTGTAACACTTTAATAATAGGTAACACTTTACAGTAACACTTTGATATTAGGTAGCACTTGGTTGTAATAGCACTTTGATATTAGGCAAAATTTGGTTGTAAATTAAATTTGATATAATTTTTTTTTTTAAGAAAATCGTCATAGCCTCACAACTCTCTTCCTCCCTCGTATTTCTCGGTTTCTCCATCAAGCTTGATGGAGCTTCTCGCTCTCGGTGCTCCACCGCTATCCCCTTCTCCCTCCCGGTGCGACAATGTAGCCCCCACCTACCGCAGCCTACCCCTATCGCAACCCGTGCTCCCATAAGGAGTCTGCACTGATTATCGCTCCACCGCCACGCTCACCAGTCCTCCGCCGAACCCACCGATCCACGGCCAACCGCCACACCTCGATCTCCGCTGCACCGCTACGCCGTCACTTCACTATACAGGTAAGCTTCGAATTTCTGAAACATAATTGTGATGAATGAATTGTGAATTTGTGATTGTAAAAATATGTATAATTGGGTTTAGCGATTAAATTTATGATTTAATCTGAATTGGGGGTACAATTATACTTGATTTCTTATTTGGGGGTTTTGTAAATTACTCTGATATTTTAATTAATGAATTGGGTAATTTGTAATTGAATTGAGTGTTGGTTTTAGGGTCTAACTCTAATAATTAAACATTAGTTAAGGGATTAGTATAATTAGTCAGCTCTAACTGCTAACAATCATTTCTGGGTATTCACCGGCATTCCTCAAAAATCCATAAAAATTGGTGAAATAGGTGATTCGTAATGAAAGCAGTTGTTATAACAAGCCCATGAGGTCCAGAAGTATTTGGAGAGTCTGATAATGTTGGTATCTGAAATTTTACACCAGTTAAGGTGAGAGTCTGATAATGTTGGTATCTGAAATTTTAGACATCAATATCTCAGAAGATTTTGATCTGTTCAAAGGAAGCCACTAAGACAACAGACTCAAAATTCCATCTACAGTCTGAGCCTCTGAGGTACTACATCCAAAATTTTTAGTAACTCATCTATTTATCATATGCAAATTTAATGTATGTAGACAAAATTGATTCCACAAAGAATCATATTCTAGAGAAAAGCTCCAATTAATTGTCAATGATAAGGAATGAGCCTAAATGGCTTGCAAATTAACCAAGTCCTGCTCGAGAATGTAATGAATCGAGCATAGCCCAGTCCTAAAGGCTTACACATGCTTCAAACATTGAATACAATTCTAATTTTTCACATAAATATCGACCCATTGTACAATTTTTTTG